AGCCAGAAGTGAAGAAAATACCTGACGGTCACTACCAAACCATGGTGAGACTTGCTGGATTAATGCCTAATGGTCCATGATTTCTGCCTGGACAGGTTCTGCCCTGCAGTGATTATCCTCCTCTCTCACTGAAAGAAACAGAAAAAGGGTGAAGCTGAGGCAGGGCAAACTGCACACTCTGGGCTAAATGCACACTCACCTGACTCCTGCCTTTTCGTCTCCCACCTATGTCACACACTTGAATTCCCTTCTAACTGGTGTGTCCTTTGGAAGACCTTGGAGGTGAGATGTTCCTACACTATTTGCAGCCAACGCCACACCTCTGAGGAAGGTCCAGTGCTCAAAGGGCTCCAGCACAAGGCAGAATGATTGGGGAACCCTACTGACATGTAGGCTCAGCCGGTCGTAGTTGCAGGCAGGCAGCTTCCCCATCAGTGCAGGATACACAAATCCTGCTGTTCTACTTGCACATCACTGGCCAAGACATACAATCACCCTTCTACTGAATAGCATCAAGATGAACCACCCAGCCCTGTGCAACACAAAAGCCAAGAAACACCTGGGAAAAGTTGTATTTAAAACAAAATTCTTTAATAATTTGTACTATAAAGACACAAATTAGTGCTTGACTGCAGCATGAATAACAAACAAAATACATTAAATATTTCAAAGCTATTGTGCTTTGCAAAACAAGATATGCTGATACATATAAGCCTAATGTTAGTTACCAGCTGGTTTGGTATGAAGAGTCAGTTCAGTGTATCAAAATTGTCAATAAGCATTGCTCAACACAGCTGTGTTTTACAAGTCAACTGCTACTCATCTGTCACAGTGTTGTTATCTATCTGCAACAATATACTGAATTTCAGGAAGAAAAACCACATGTTAGAACTAATAGTGTCAACGTTAGAAAGTTTGGTCACATAATGCATGGGGGATTTCATGTCCACTACAGGTGGACAGATGTTATTTGATCAGACAGTGACATCACTAGTGCATTAAGCTGAGATCAACAGTCAGCATGAAACAGTCAATGTCAATTTGGAAAATCAAGAAAAAAATGAGTTCTTGTTCAGTCTAAGTAGTGACTGTAAGTAAGCTTATGGTGATTGAAACTCTCTTCCAAAATCCAGGGAGCAATATTATACACAACCAAAGTTCTTCCACAGCGACTGACCAAGGCTCTAATGTAGAAAACATTTTGGCACATAATTTGCTATGAGCATATGTGAAAGTCCATTCTACTCAACATGGTCTTTGGAGAAACATATATATGTTCCAGAGCTTTGGGGAAAGAATGATGAATCTGAGATTGTGCTTACAGTTATTCCTGTGGACAAATAAGCAAAAGACCCCTTACCTTTGCATTTTTAAAAATCCTGACAATCTGCTCTTAAACATCAGGCAGATTCAATTTGTGTGAAATATGTGCAAAAAAAAAATTGCAGGCACTGGTTTAGGGTCTTGCATTAACTGGACTCTGAGCTTGATTCTTCTTAAACCTACAATTACACACCTAATCAAACCTAAACACTTTCAACAAGTAATATAGGAGACTTCTAATGTAAAGTAAGAGGTCCAAGCATCAAAACTGCCCCCATTGTACATATGAATCCCCATATCCCCAACCTTGTTTGAAGCATCTGCCTGGGAGCTCCAGTAATGGGGTTCTGCATAAAGTGCTTGCTCAACTGCTGCGTCCTCACACTGCCTGTCATTGAACTACACAACCCAAAATAAACACCAGCTGTAAGGCTAAATCCCTCAAACAGCTCTTAAAGCCTGGAAAGATGCAACAGCATCAGGGATGTGGGGTAGTCAGGCTCACATTTGAGCCAAACAGAGGCAGCCATATACTGGATAACTAACTGGAAAACCACTAAAAATAGCACTGTGATTCCTGTAGAAGGAGAATTTTTAACAAAAACTGACCCCACCTACCAAAGACTTGGTGTTACAGAACCCAGTGGAAAACAGAGCCCCAGCTCTCAGAAAAGCCTTGAGACAGAGAGATCAGGCACTTGGCAGCTGTAGGCAGTTGTGCGTGAGAAACTGAGCAAAGAAACCTAAAACAAATCTTAATAGTTATACAGGACATTCTCTATAGATTACAGACTCTGAAACAAAGCTGGCAGAGGACATTCCAGATGGATAAGAAATGTATTCATTCATGTATGAAACAATCCGTGTCACGTTCCATCCTCATAAAACAGCCGCTAAGTAATCTACAATGAGCTGAATGTAACAGAGACCACATCACTCCTATGGTGAAGAGTGTAGAGTCAACACAGAAAGTTAAATGTATAAATAGCAAAACATTCAAATAGCTAAAGTGCAGATACCAGGAGGGCTGACGTAATACTATGGGATTCTGTGCTTAATCTTTGTTATTCTCTTTTTATGTAAGATTTCTTAATCTCCTTCTGGCTTTGCTCTGCTCGTGGGTAATAAAGACTCCATCATTTATCCGTCTTCATGATAAAGTCTCACAGTCAAACAGCACTTCACAGTTAAAGTGCAAATGGGGTTTAAAGAAAACCAAAAGTTTTACCTGAATATGTTAAAATATGGGGAGCACAATTCCACCAAAACAAAGGTGTGTTCCTGAATTCTGATGTCTACTAAAGAAAATAGCAGTGCTGCTTTGTTACAGCTCATCTTTGTCTGAGAAGTGTTGTATTGAATTTTTTCACCACCTGCTATTGAATGTCATAATATATCCACAGAGAGAATCAGGTTTAAAAAAAAAAAAAAGGTATTACTGAAATTTTTGAATGCAGATTAAACAAGGTGGTAGCGATTGTGAGATACACCGATGGTATTGGGAGGATTTGCTGTTGCCAAGAGTTTCACATGGAAGAGTTTGCTGAAAAAGACATTCAGGTGCTCAAAACCGAATGCTGGGAGCAAATCCACTACAGTCAAAAGAATCAACTGCATTTCAAACCTTACAATTTAGCTTCAGCCAAACAAGACAGCCCCAGGGATAAACATAGCACAAAATTGGATTAGAAGATAATTAAAACTAATTATAAAGCACTATTTTCCATCGCATTCCTCTTAAAACACTTCGCTACACCTGTCTGAAGTCCTCCTACTTGAATCTCTTTCTAAAGCAGACAGACTTACACACAGATGAACAGCAGACTGAGCACAAGCTGTAAGTGACAGACACCAAACAAGTCAGGATGTTTACAGGGAGTGAACAGAGTCAGTCACAAATCAATATAATACTGTTGCCACTCTCAGGGGCTGCATGGTGTAAGTCAGGCTGCTCTAATATCCACACATTCAGGCAAATGTAATTAAGGGCACAGGTATTGTACAATACATGACAGAGGTAGATTGGCCAGTGATAGACTGCATATTCCAACTCTGACTATGGGGTAGGCTTCTAAACACTCATGAGCAGCACATCATCCCTGTGCTAACACAAAAAGCATTAAGATGAAGTCCGGAGATGACTAATACTGCTAGCCAACAACACTGCCCTCAGAATATGGGTGAGATTCCTCCTCATGTCTTCTCTTCAGTTCTGGATAACGCATGTCTTGAGCTGTATCCAAAAAATCTAGATTCCCAGAATAAAGTATAGTTTTGATCTGTACTGCAAGAATAATTTTGAGGTTTTCCTCTTATTTCCAAGAAAGAATTTTTCAGCTCACGTTCTGCAGAACTACTTGTTGCTCACCTGTGTCAAACTGTAGTTTGTAAAATATGGCAGATTTCCTGGTTCTTTGTAGATGTTAAAGAATAGAAGAGTTCATTGCTATCAAGTCCATCCAACACATTCTGAAAGATTCATATTAAATTACATGTTACTTCTCTTTAACGCAGTTGCTGTTTGAATCCTACTCAAAAAATAGTATCAAATGTGACCTTATAAGATGTAGTGCAAGAAAAGTTTGGGATATGCTGCTCTAAGGTCTGTAGAAAAAAAAAAAGATCAGCATTGTCATACAAGTGATATAAATAAAAAGCAATTTAACAGACATTTAACACATTACAGGAGTAAGGATGTACGTCTTTCCAGGCACTAGAAAAGGCAGTCTGAACTTCAGTAACATGTAGTTAAAACTGGCTTGTCATTTTCAATATCACTCACAAGATCAGTAAGGCAGTCAAACCAAAGCACCCATGATTTTAGATTATTTATGCTTAGAAGGATACACAGGTAAATTACATTCTTCAAGATCTAATATAACCTGTTGAAAGAAAGGTTGCTGGCAGAGTGGTAAGAGGTGTGCATGTTTTTGGTCATTTGGAATGAAGGAAAAAGCCAAATTGCATGATTTTTTAAAGATAAAAACATCAATGACAAATGATACATGAATGAAAAACTATCAGCAGCATAAAATTAAAATAAGAGCTTTTCCAACTTTTTTTTTTCTAAATCCTGACAATTCAAATCAACACAGTCTGAAAAAAAACTCCATCATACACTTCCTAGTTGCAAATGTGCTGGAGAATCAACAAATTCTTTAAAATATACCATTGTAGAGATATCTGAACAATAAGAAAGTAGCTTTTTGGGATGCTCTGGTTCTTGCAATTACAGGGAAAGTAAACAGAGCCCTAAGATCCTTCAGTAACAAAACTAAGGCCACTAAAATAAAGGTTTTGTTAATTTTCATAAAAATAATATCAGTGCCTAGCAGATGTCACAAGTGACTGTTGATATGTCTTTTTGCTGCATTGCTCCTCTTATGGGATTCTTTTCCTAACTAACAAAAACATGCAAACATACTAAATAAGAAAATGGGATACAGTGTGCAGAAGAATGCTTGAGAGAGCCTGGAGGTGAACAGGCAGGCACTTATTTTCAAGCTACATTTTTAAAACAGTTCTCAAATCTCTTTACAAAAAATATGCCTTCTGGATAATTAAAGACACTTGATCCACAACAGCATTTTCCTACCTCTATGCTAATTATTCTATTTTTTTTCAGTCTGAAAAGCACTCAAATTTCCCAACACAGATGCTGACCTTGACTATGGAACTGGAGCCTACTGACACCAAATCTGCTCTAAAATTAACCCTCAGGTGCCTTTATAGTGGTTTACAAGTTGAAATGCACTGCTATCAGCATGTCAGTGAGTGCTCACTGAACTCACTCAAGGTTAAGTATCTTTTCCCAGCCCCAAGTCTGGGACTATTTGATCCCAAGAGTCCAGGGTCAGTCACATAACAAAAGCCATATTTTTATCTGGAGAGTCACATCAGTAGGAGTGTTACTGATGGATATGAAAGATGCAGATAAACTGCAAACAGAGAAAAAGACAGTAAAGGAAGGAGACCATTTCAGCCACGCTGATTGTACAACAGTCAGGACTTTGAGATCTGGGAGACAGCTTTACAGCTGCATTATCGTGCCTTGCTGCTGTGGGCACACTTCAAACCAATATAGAATGGGATTTCCCATCAGTCCGAGCATTTCCCTTTTTTAAATCCCTCAGAGCATCAAAAGCAGACAAAAATTGCATAGCACGGCAGCAAGTAGGCACAGAGACAGACTATGTTAGTTGCCCCAAAACCAAGACAATCAAAACCACAGCCTTCATATGAGGTATATTTTGAAAAACTGTGTTAGTTTAATGTTTCCTTTACATTGACTTCTTAACTTTCACCAGCTGGGTAAATGAAAACTGCAGAAAGCAGAGGGTTTGTCCCCCCCATTAATCCCTAAAGTTTGGTTTTAGAAAGGTGGTCAACTTTCCACAGAGTAACCATGTGACAGACAGATTAAGAGCAAGCCAAGTGCTGCCACTTATATTTGGGGTATCCTCAACCTCAATCTTGTTCTTTACTCCTTCTTCAACATTTCTGAATAAGAAGATGGTTCTGAAAGTCAGACCAATATTTAAGACTTGTAAAATACAGGGAAGATGAATTCAGAGCTGAACTAGCACGCCTCTAAGGTGTTTGTCAATCTGTATGAATGGAAAATGGGAAGTAAAAAGCAGGGATAGAAAAGGAGGTATGTAAGTAATAATTATAAAAAAATAAAAAAGAGTGTTTCTTATGTTTCTACAGTCACTCTACAGTTTCCTGATGAATCACTGGTCAAACAAATCAGGAATTCAGTTTCCAGACACAAAAAAGAATCCCTATAAGGCTTCACCATTTCAGTGTCTTCAGCTGGTCACACCCTGGAACATCCTCCATGATGAACCTCTCAGTCAGACTAAAGAGAAAATAGAAGCTTGGTACAAAATGAACTAAATGGCACAGGTATCACAACCATTTTGCTTAAAATATAAATTGTAACGGAGGCTGTGGAAAAGCAAGATAGAATAAAGCCCTAAATCAACCATTACATACTTCATTAATTGTATAAAAGTGCAAGATTAAAGTAGTTCAGGTTAAGCATTCAGTTCACTATAGGCCACAAATGCTTAGCTTGGTCATCAATGGCCTAGCTTTGTCATTCAGTTACTAATATTAGTTTAAACCACAGAAAGAACAAAAACTGAATGAAAAAAAGTATGCAATCCACTTCGAAAATGGTTAGATTTCTGTGACCAGCACGAAATATTACTTCAATATCATCAGCTATACAATATATACATAAAAATATTGTGTCTTAATCTTTGTTTTAACAACTTAGAATAAAGCTGTACTAAACTCTATTTCCCTAGTGTGCCAACTCTTTGCTCTGTTCCGGCCGACTGGCCCAGTAATACAGAGAAGTCCTTTTATAGCAATGGTACTTGGATTGATCCACAATTTTGACACTTCAGCCATAGTAACTGTTGAAATGCTTTATTCAGCCAGGCTAGGTGATCTCATGCGACTGTCCAGGGCTCAGTCAAAGCTTCTTGGGTGGCTCCACAAGAAGAACAGGCCATATTCCAAAAACAAACTGTTAAAAGAAAAATAGGAAGAGGGGAAAGATTCCTTGGAATATTATGTTTCTTGGATCAGAAAGCAAACACTATTAAACTTAATGTAATGAAAAGGACAAAGGGGTAATGGCTCCAAAATGAAAGACTGTAGATTCAGATTTGATATTAGGAAGAAATTCTTCCCTGTGAGGGTAGTGAGGCAATGAAACAGGTTGCCCAGAGAAGTTGTGGATGCTCCATCCCTGGAAGTGTTCATGGCCAGGACAGAGCTCTGAGTAACCTGGTGTAGTGGAAGGTGTCCCTGCCCATGGCAGAGAGGGTGAAACTAGATGATCATTAAGGTGCCTTTCAATACAAACCATTCTGTGATTCTCTGAAAATTTCAACCGCATTTCCTGGGATGTAAGTAGAAGTCAAAAACACTACCCTAACAGCATAATTACTGATCCCCAACACAAGTTCAAAGCACAAGATATCCAAATGCACATTAATGAACACAACTGCTTACCTTCACCTTTGGCCTGTGTTTCAGGAAAAGTGTCCTTGTGTATAAACTGAGGAGAAGGAAAAAAGCATGCTTAAAATTTCATGTATAAGACAGCATATAAAATAATGATGTACTAATCCCAGTTTTATTTTCCAACTAGAAAGGAATGGTTTCTGTAATTGCAGGGCTACCCACTCTGCCTAGATTTATTCAAAACAGGAGACATTAACTTACAGTAAATCCCTCTGTACTAGACTCTGATCAGCAAATTAATTTACCCTATCACCTATGTGGGGAGAAAGAAAGAAACCCAGAGGGGTAAAAAAAAAATTAAACGAACTAGAGTCGGTCATTTTAGAAGGATGAAATATAGCAGATGTAGAAGAGGGGAAAAGAGCATAGCTTGATTCTTTCTCTCGCTTTTGTTCTTAGACACTTTCTCCTCTTAGCAGATCTTTTCCTGTGTATGATCTCACTTTTTTAAAGAGGACATAGATGATGCCACCGTGTGGCTAAGAAAATATTCAGGAAACTACTTCAGAGAAAGCTTACAGTCCATTGGGGTAAGACAGAAAAATCAGGCATCTGCACATTCCCCAAGGGATAGAGGATACAACCCCAAATTATTTATGTGCTGCATGTTGGAAAAAACCTTGCCTATGCTTGATTCCTGTACAGAATTTTCTTAAAAATATTATCTTTAGGGTAGCAGACAACCTGTCAGCCAAAATGGAGTAACTGTTTTCAATATACCTTGACATATTTTTTTAATATATATATATATAAAGGTACATATATATATATACATCTACATATGTATAGATACATAAATACTTGTATATATGTGTGCATATATGTATACACGCGTAAATATAAAACAAAAGCTAACAGATCAGCTGTTGGAACCGTACTTATTTTCCTTGCATTTTCCTTTTACCAGGTATTTTAACATCTGACCAAAAAGAAGAATACCATGCTAGATGTAGGAAAATTGATATGTAATCAGGTTTCCTGAACTACATAGACTGTATCTGTAAAACAGACATCCTCTTAAGTTATGGCTAAGTGGTAAAATATTATTTCATTATATGATGAACAAACTGCAGAAATTCTTCACAGACTTTAGCTTAAATTCCGGTCCCTGATTCCACTAGATGGTGGCATAGAGCAAAAACGAGACAAACATCTTCTGGCTCCAGATTTGCTAACTTACATTCTTGTTTAAATCTCCTCCTAAAACTAATATCCTGCCCTTCTGGGAACAGCTTTACTACAACTACTTCAGCCATCACCCTTCTGCACTACTGCATGATGCCTGCTAGTTTTTAGGAATGACAGTGCCTATCAAAAAGATTAGTTGTGCTCTGAAATTTAAACATGTTAAAGTACTTTAATACCTGTCTGTTCTTGAGCAGCAATCCTAATGGCTTACATTCTGAAATTAATATAATGTCAAATAGTTTTCCAGTTTAACTGCCAAAGGGTTCTCGTTTCTGAATTACATTTTCTTGAAGAACCATGACTATTTAAAGACAAGTGATTACATTTTGAAGAACATAAAATAATTGTAGAGAGCTTTTAGATCAGTTGCAAAGAGGAAAGGAAACCTTGCATTGGTGTAATAAGCCATTTTCCTGCACTTCTGGATGATACGACATTCTGAAGTACATCTGAACCTGGGAAAACTCCTAAGATCTCATTATGGACATCCAGTTTAGAAAACATTTCCTACCTTAGCAGGATGTGAAGGTAAGAACCCAGGCCTGTGAGAATATGCCACCATGCATGAAACTGTGTCACAGCTCCCACCACAGGAGGCATCTTCTCTCGTAGTGCTCTGAAAGAAAGAAGCTCCACGCAATAGGAATTTTTTTCCAAGCTAAGCAATCTCAAATCACAATATTTGACTGTCAGATCACACATTATTGTTTCGATATCTTAGGCGTGTGCTTGATGGTTAAGGTTTCACATGATCAGGCTTTCAGCAGATGAGGAGCAGCAGTCATACCTTATACTGCCAGTACAGAAAGATATCGGCATACTGACTTTCTTACACATTTTAAAAAAGTACACACTTCCTCATACAATGAGTGATCAGATATGTCTGGACTCTGATTTCAGGGGATATATTTACAGCATCCCACAGGCCCAAATGAATTCTACCATCCTCCTCACCAAAACTCTGTGAACTCTGTCCACAGGATGAAACACTGAGTTTAAGGTCCAAGAGAGGAAATGGGATCTATCAAATATCAGCACTTTACATGTGGTAATCACACCACCTATTCTCCCGGTCCATGGGACCTTAACTTGCCTTTCTCTGTTGGACTCTAAATCAGGGACAAAATGGGTGTTTAGCGAGGAAACAATGAAAGTAGAGGGTCTGAAATACTCTGCCAAGATGCTTTGTATTTTGCAGTTATGGGATGTGAGCTGCTTAGCTACTTGGAAAGGGGCTAAGGGATGGAGGTAGAGAAATAAAGGGGAGGAGTTACATTGCTCTGATTTCTCCTACTCACTAAGCTTCTGCAGATATTGCCTATTTTGGTTGATGGTGGAGCAAATGTTTGCACCTGCTTGTCTTTTTTCACTTTTATTTCACATTCAGTCAAAACAAAAAAGGGAAAACAATTGTATATGTTAAGGAAGAAAAATGTGTAGCTTCTTACTTACTGCTTGATGTTATAGTACTTAGTCCCCCTGACTAAATCCTGAGCTATTGCTTAGTTTTCAGAGCTGCTCAGTCACAAATATTAGCGCAGAGCTTCAATTCAACCAGCCCAGCAATGACACAGTGGAACACACTTGATGTGCTGTCAGCCTGGCACAACCTCTGAGCCTTTGGATGGCAGGAAATTTCAAAGCCCATATTCAAAAGTGCATGGTTCCAGCCAGGGAAACTGAGTGCTACAGATTTTGTTATTTTGATTAAAAAAAAAAAAATTAAAATAAACTGCAGATTTAATGAAATATGGAAAAATAAAACCCGAACCAAAACCCAATTTTGAACTTGAAAACCAAACAGAGCAGGTAGGTGGATGATTCACAAGTTAGAGCTTTAGAGACCAAAAGATTTCAAGGCATTGAAATGCATTTTCTCCAAAGGTTCAAATTATAATGCCACTGATAGAAATCCAAGGCTCTGCAGATGTCTGATTAAACCTAGTAAACAAGCATTTTTTTGTTTTCAGCACCATAACCAAACAAGTATTACAGGAAGTATACTAGCATTTTTCCCTTTACAAAATGAGGATGGAGAAAAGTGCCTCAGCAGCTGGAGTAATTTTTGGGCCTAGGAACCAGCTCAAAAGACCTATGGACCCACAGCAGCTCAGGAAGCTTGGTGAGTCGGGGGTTACAATCTCGCCAATGAGGTGAGGCAGCTGCAAAAATCAACCCTGATGCCAATATTTGCAAAGTAACTGCATACCCTACCACTTGTGTTGGCAAATAACTTTTCTATCCCATGTGTATCAAGTCCTTCTAGGGATGAGCACCATATATTATATTAATTTTTTTTTTTAAAAAGTTTCAAGAATTCTCTGTTGGAGTTAACTTTCAGTTGGCCTAACCTAGTGCAGGAACTACAGAGCCAAAAGGGACAGATGGAAAACTCAGACTCCTTTACAGCACACTATTATTTGGCCCTGACAAAGCAACCTACTGGGATAATTCTGTACACCACAGATTCAGTGGCATAACAGTGTTTCAAATTGCCAAAAGTGTATTTTTCAGGATGCTGGAATCAACCTTTTCATCTCCTCCAGTTTCTGGCGGAACACACGTATCACAACTGGGTGTTGTCTACTGGTAACATATATATTGTAACAGGTATTTCTTTTATGTTTATTGGTAACATATATATTGAAATTGGTATTTCTGTAATGTGCAGAACTACTGGTTTTGATATTTTGCTGGAAAATGGCAAGAGCAGAAATAAAAAAAAAACACAAAACCAAAACAACAAACCAGCAAGATAAAAACATGTTCAGACGAAATTAAGTGTAAATAGCAGGCTTTAATAAGCTAGAGATTCTCCAAATTACTTCAGTGACATAACTTCTCTCAATTTAATTTCAAGTTAGAGATATATATAAAAAATAAATCTATTAATGGATAAAAAACATTAAACTAAAAAAATCTGTTAAGTGCTGAATCTAGTTATGAGTAAACTGGATAAAACCCTCATGGATGTTTTGTAGGTAGCATACCATATGTAACATGAGATGGACTTGAATATACACCACAGAAACAATCAAATCTTTATACTAAAAGACTATTTAGAGTTATCCAGACAAAGTGAAAAAAACTCACCTCAATTTATCACAGAAAATGTTGTCCACATTCCAGAGAAAAAATCCCATTAAAAATACAGTTAAAGACGTATAGCCTAGACCTCTAAGCCATGGGTATACCCTAGAGAGAGAGAAATAACGCAAAGTTTAGTTCAGAATGCTTTAAAGGCAGTGTGTAACATACACAAATACTATTACATATTAAAAAAATGCTTTATCAATTTGGCTTTTTCCCCAAAAGAAAAAATATTAACTTCAAATTTCATCTATTTAAATATTGTATTTACTTCTCCTCTCTCCTGACTTCACATTCTCTGAGACAGTTCTTTTAAATGCTTCACTTCTATATATCTAATTGTTTCCCTAAATACTGCATCTCCTAATGAAACAAGGAAGTGAGAAAACTGACGTTGGCTAAAAGGCACTAATTCTTCAGTCCCACATATAATCTTTCATTTAAAAAAAACCAAAACAAGAAACCATGTTACAAATTAGGATTGTCTCAAAAGAAGAGGCTCTTTTCGAATAGATATCCCTATACTAGGGAACTTGCTTAAATACAGTGTTTCAAAATGACTTTCGTGAACACAGACCACCATGACCAACAACTAACCAAATGAATGGTATTAGAAAACAGTAACCTTATGTGTATTTTAGACTTAAGTGCTGCTGGAGATAGAAAAATATCAATTTAATTTTGGGAGAAAAAAAATCCTGTTTAAGATACGGGAAACACACTGAAGAATCAGATGCAAGGAAGTGCATCATTAATTAACTTAGTCTCCCTATCTACATTCAGGTTGGACCGTGGAATCATAAACTTGCTACATGGAAGGCTCCTTTCCCACTAATAAGACAAGTCCAAAAGCAAAGCCAAATCCAACCCTAAAAGGCTGCCATGAAATACTGTTCAAGTTATTTTTAAGTGTTATGAATGCACCGTTGAAATTCTGGGTTAAAATGCATTCCTGAGCTGCTTTTCCCTCCATTGTGTGTGCTACACACAGCACATATTTCAGAGCTGTGAGCACTGGGAACAAAAAAGTGCAAAACATAACAGGTAGAGCTTCTTCCACAGGGCAAGCTAACCAGATACAAGCTGTATATGTTAACAAATACACTGCTAATATAAACTATCAAAACTATTACTTGTTTATCTAATAAATGTGTGGAGCATCATGCAGTACATGGCAGAAACTACATTGTAATATTCCCAACTCAGTGCTCCAGGGACATAAGCAAGACCAAGACATTAAGGAGCACTA